ATGCGCCACTTCGATAAAGCGGCACGACACGAGAACCCTCTCATCGTGGCCGCCGGTAACTACATTCCCGATCCTGCGGACAGAATGGAAAGCAGTCGACGTCGCCCAAAACACGTCATCTCGGATCCTCCCGATCCACTAACGGTGCTTCTAGGTACTGTAAGCACCGGTCACCGTTCTCGTCGAACCCGTCGCTTGCGACGAAGGGCTCGACGAGTAAATTAACTCCCAGACACAGCCCACTGAGTTTCTCGCCGGATCTTCTCAGTGGGTCGCGTTTCCGATCCGGTGGTAGATTCTGCGAAGCACGGCTCTTGCTAGGGTTCGTGTTAGCAACGTCATCAGGTTTGAGCCCCGTGAGCTCACCTACAAACGTTAGGGTTACGCTGAAATAGCCTCTCAAGGCTTTCAGCTTAGGTAGGAAAAAAAAAAAAAAAGATATAGGAGGGATGACAACGGTCAACTACAACAAGATGCTCGAGTACAGAGAGCCCAGTACAGAGACGCCTGCCTGGCAGAATTGTCGCCGCACAATGACTCTACGTCGACCATTTCGGTTGGCGGTCGATCCTTGTTAACGGAGGATGGCTAGTACTGGTAGCTCGTCACGCCACCGTAATAATCTCTGCGATAGACGATGGAGGCCGTCTACACGGGCCAGAGCTGTGTGCTTAGTGCGAGTTTTTTAACGTTCTCGATAGCGTAAAAGTTAGCTCATATTTGTATGGAATAGGATCGTTTGCGTACGTTTGTCGCTAGGGGCGCTGTTCCAACTGCATACAAAATTGGGTTAACTTTTACGCTATCGAGAACGTTATGAAACTCAAACTAAGCACACTGAGCATAGTTCTACGTCCGGCAAACGGCCCGAAGGTGGGAGGTCGAAAAGCGAAGAGCTCTCTCTCTCATGCTCCGCAACCTTCTTTTGTGAAATGGTGGACTCGCAGGAGCCGAGCATCGCCTAACGTGATGCGTCGCTGCCGAGCGTTAGAATCCTTTGATAGAATAGAAATTATAATTTGCGTAATTACTGGTGGTTGGGTATCTTGTGAGTCCGCACGGGTAGGTACCACCACCCTGCCTCTTTCTGCCGTGAAGCAGTAATGCGTTTCGGTTTGAAGGGTGGGGCAGCCGTTGTAACTATATTGAGACCTTAGAACTTATATCTCAAGATGGGTGGCGCATATACGTTGTAGATAGATGTCTATGGGCTCCAGTAACCACTTACTTAAAGGTGGGCTGTGAGCTCGTCCACCCATCTAAGCAATAAAAAAATAAAAAAAGTCGATCGTGAGACGTCCTGGGTCACGATTCACCCAGTCGCCTCTTCGGACTGGCGGTCAGGTTCGCCAGAGGAGATTAGGATTTTAATATGGACTACCAAAATTGGAGCCTCGGATCGCGCCCAGGCTAAGGGCTTGTCGCGGAGATCGCGTCGCAATAATGCCGAGCTTTTAATCTTTTTTGAGTTGCTATCAGCTAACACTTAAAAAAAACAATCTGTTCCATAAATCCAGAGGTTTTTCTTGCAAACCAATTGAGTGTTGAAATTTTTTGATCTTATTATTTCATTAGTATCCTCTAAGTATACTTTAAATATCTTTCTGTTTTACCAGTTTGTTTGCCTTTAAGAGATGGTTTTTTTTAAATATTTTATCACTTGAACAATCAAATGTATCAATGCTTTTAATTATTCATGGCTGTCCGATCTAGTTATTTGTTCTGCCCATTACCTGAACTTGAACATAATTTATTGTTAGGCTATCAATTCTCAGGTTTTGTTTAACAATATCAGTCCATTTTTGATGTTACAAATCATGTGTTAAATAAAATTCACTAAATTAAAGATTTGGCACTCACCCAATATAATCAGATAGTGAACCTCCAACAAACAATGTTGGTCCACAATACTGAAGGCCTTTTAAGTTTGATGGGAAGGATGAGATGTGGTTTTGAAAATTATCTTTTAGAGCCGGTATATTGACTCTCCAAGTAAAAGATCCTGCATTAGTTTGTACTAAATTAGTTATAAGAAAATTCCTGAGATTTATATCGGGTGTAAATGATTTAAGTTGGTCATCTGCAAGTTTTCGTGCCTTAGACATAGCTATACCAGGCCTTATTGATACTGCAGTCATAGCATCAAAAAGGGTGGCCATTGAGAATATTTGAGGACTAGTCTTCGCTGGTGAGATGTCCACCACAATTAAACTGGCAACCAAGTCAGACTGAAAGAAACATACATTTTTGTGATATAAAAAACCAACATACTAATTTACTGCTACATTATTTATCTTGTTTTCAATAATACTTTTCTTGGTTAAAAACATGTTTAAATCCTATTGTGTTTGTATTCTCTTATGCGTATTATGAGAATTATGCAGTAATATTTTATTAATATACAACTAAATGATGACAGAATGCTACGTACAACTTACACATAGCAGTGATAGCACCATGGCAGTTCGGCCTCCCATACTGTGCCCAAGCAGTGATACCTTTGACAACTCTAATTTCTTTAGCAGCCGCATTACATCATGAGCCATGTGTACATATGTGTGCTGGGGTGAATGTCGACTGTCACCATGATTACGAGCATCAACACTTATCACTTTTCTGCCTGTTGTCCTATGTATTGCTTTACTCATGCTATTCCAATTGTTCTTAGAACCTAACAAGCCGTGTAATATGACTAGAGGAGGTTGTGATGAATTTTCAGAGTCCGAAGTGCTCTCGTAAGACGCGTAGGCCAAATCTACTGTTTCTGCGCTTGATGCTGTAGAATTCCAGCATCTTTGGACACTGACACTGAGTAATTTTGTGGAACTACTGAAACGGGTAAAAAAGTTTTTGGGACCTAATATATTGAGTAGCATATTTATTCGATAACTTAATCTAATTTTGGTAACTAAAAGTCTAAAGGTTATGTTATGATTTCGACATTTGTTTTTGACGTTAGTATTGTATTTGACGTTTTTGACGTTTAAATTATGTACACTTGAATACCGAACAGCTGACTTCCAGGCTATCACATTAGACAGAACAATCAACAAATTAATTTAGCTAAAGTATGTGTTGGACTGTAGGCAGAACTTGTAAACATGAAAGCGGCTTTGTTCGTAACGCGGATAAATTTAAATTCAGTACTTTAAGTGAAAATGGGGCTGTGCATAATTCCAATTGTTTCGGATGCGTAAAATATATTAAAAAATGATCTGGTAGGATACTATAGAATTTATTTTTAAAATGAAGGCTGCAGAATTTTGCGAAGGTGTGTTCTAATCTACAGAAATTATAAACGTACATCATCAGCCCACAGTCGTCCACTGCTGGATATAAGCCTCTCCCAATGTACACCACTGAGCCCAGTCCTCAGAAGAATCCATTTCTTGCTGGTCACCCTACGAAAGTCATCGCACCATATGGCTGGGGCCAGCCCACCTGGATCTGTGGAATGGAATAACCTCATTCCTGATTTTATCCTTCCGAGAAAATCCGAGCATGGCTCTTTCCGTGGCTCGCTGAGTGACCTTGAGCTGACAGGCTAGCCGCCCTGTGAGCCGCCATTTACACCGACAACCAGCTTGTTTCTCTACCATCAGGATTCAAGTAGGAACTAGGAATTTAAATAGGAAAACGGATAAATTTAATGTCACCGCGGGCGTATTACAGTAATTTCTTAAGTATTATTAGGACAGTAGCAGTAGATGCAATAAGTTCTGATTTATACCCAGATAGACTAAGCGCTATATTCCTCGGATTTGTATGTGCGTCTAGAGCGTCCAGTGGTATTTCTCACATAAATTGTGCAGTAGATGAATTAAGTGTGTCGAAATAGAGCATAATAATATCATTAGCGTAATTTTAATACTTGCCCACCGAAAGGGAGAACAGCTAAGATGTTTGTTCTTAATTCTCAACTAAACGTTCCCAATAAAAAATTTGAATTTTAAATTATAATATTTGGAATTAATTACTAGAAACCTAATTTGGTTAATTTCAGATTAGACTTTCGAGCAAGCTCTACCTAAGATCTGCATACAGCAGAAACTTCTTTGGTAGAGTACCTTCAATTTTTTGCCCAGTCAAATTTTTGTTTTCCTACAACCCCACACTATCTTTTAGAAGAAAAGTGGGTCGCTGCAGTGGAAGCTTTGGGGTTTTTTTTGCTTAGTTGGTTGGACGAGCTCACAGCCCACCTGGTGTTAAGTGGTTACTGGAGCCCAGACACATCCACAACGCAAATACGCCACCCACCTTGAGATATAAGTTCTAAGGTCTCAAGTATAGTTATAACGGCTGCTCCACCCTTCAAACCCTTAAATTGAAGTTCAGCTAATTCTATTCTGAGGTCCGTTCCAGAGGTTTCTCCAGATGAATTTTCTGCTATCATTCGTATTGCGATGAGTCCCAAAGGACTTTAAGTAAATGAAATACAGGAAGGAAATTTTTCTGACTCTAAGCGACTTCTGACAATCGACATCTGAGATACACAAAGCGATGGCTAGCCGCAGAAGTTATTTTATCGGTCAATATACTATCAGCTGTTGTTCAAACTATCACAAAATGAATTGAAACCACCGTTTTTAAAATGTTCCATAACTTTTGAAAACAATTATGCGATGGATTTAGAGGTAAGTAATTTGATAGTTTCATCTGGTCACCCTGCTTAGGAATACCTACGAAAACGAGAAATTCTACCCTATCTTAATTTAGCTTGGCTAGATGGCGTAGAGCACGACCTCAAAGCTATCGGTGTCAGGAAATGGAAGGAGAAAGCCCTGAAAAGAGCAGTCTGAAGAGACATACCAGGCTAAGGCCCACCCTGGGCTGTAAGGCCTAATATGATAATTAATATAACTTATATTCGTAGCGTATCATAAAACTTATGTAACATAAAACTAACGAAGTAGACATTCGAGGACGGAAATAAGCAAGCAATATAAATGTTCAAATGTATTTTTATTATTAAGGTCAAACTCATCAATATTTTATAAGGAACTGGTTTACTAATTTGAGAAATGTTTTAGGATCCTCTGCATGCACGTTGTGACCTACGTTGGGAATATATTTTAATTCAGCTTTGGGAAAAAAAATTCTTATGCCCTTTATATCTTCTGGCCTAGAAAAGAGCACCAGAAATAATTAGTGCGCGTAGAATAATATAAAAACAAAAGAAACGCAACTCTGTAATCATAATCTGAAAAGTATGCTTGACCTTTAAGATGCCTTTTTAAATTCTGGGAGATATATTACAAAATGGAAATTAGGTACATACTTATTTGTGTGTATGTAAACAATTTCCATTATGAAGGTCATATGTTAAATTATAACAATAAAAAAATATAAATATGCAAAGATTAAAGTGTAGTTCCTTTAATCTTAACGATGTTATGTAGTTGTTTTTGTTTAATACGTAGACGTTGATGAGTTTTACAGTTAAAAAAAATTCCCGCCTTTTCATAAAAAAATACAAAAGAGGAAACTTAAGTACATATGTAATTAATATTTAATTTTATGACAAATTTAAATCTTGACATGTCAGTATTAAGATCGAATTTCGATTTCGGGGTGGACACTAGTAGCAATAAACCTAAAAAAATTATAAAGATTCTTCGTATATCAACCTACTGTTAGTTTGGTCATGATGTGAGTTCGATCATTAGGTATCAAAATACCGCAAAGCCGGCACCTACTAACTTGAAGACTAGGCTTGCGATGATGACGTTGAAGCCTGCAATACAATTAAGACTTCGGTCACAAATTGGACCATGGCAATCATGTTGTCTAACACTAAATAAAAAAAAGGCTGCCCTGAAAACCGGAATTCGTAAAATAGTACATCGACCGAGATGCTGGAAATTCTCATGACTCCAAGTACCTACCCCTAATGCTATTAGGTATTTTCAAATGAGAACTTTCACTGTTTAACGGTTTTTTTTCTCATATTCATGTACTATTGTAATACAAATCTTTTTTTTGTACAATGATTTTTACTGTTTTTTTCGCATACAAGGTTATATTTTGATGTGTTGTTATTGATTGGTAAAGCGTATGTTTATACGTATAAAATTATGTTAATGACTCATGAATAATTTAGCACCGATGTCTATAAATTAATGGTATCTCAATTATATTACTTTACATAGTTTGGTTGCAAAATCTTACGGAATGTATTTAGAATCTCCGCCGCCGATAAATAACGTGGGGCCTTTGTACGTTTTGCCTTTCATTTCCGAAGGGAATGTTGCTATACTCTCAAAATACTTTTTTAACGTTTCTACATTGCAAAGCCAGCCGATACGTTTGTTAGGTTTCAATCCAACATTCAATAAAATGAAGTCGATAGAATCATCATGTTTCATCACCCCTGACTCTATTATAACTTTTTTCACAGTAGCTCTCGCCTTTGATATGCTTTCTTTTCCTTGGAATTCCATGGTCTCCATTACTTTTAGAAGTTCTGGAAAGAAATCGTTGAGTAGGCCCGCCGTTGAGACCGGAGATATGTCGACAACGACCAAACTTGCGACCTTTGGATTCTGTAATACGTAACCTTGTTAAAAAACAATTTAAATGATAATTTTGATCAAAAAACCATTAAGGTAACTCGTCAAAGAACAAACGTTGGAAATCCGGTAGTTTTGGAACACAAGACTTTGACATATTCTCTGGGTTGCTTCTCACCTCAGTCAAAGCCAGTACCATTGCCGTTCTTCCGCCCATACTATGCCCAACAATCTTCGCTCTTTTTACGGAAACTTTCTTCATTAGATGGGATATATCAGCGGCCAATTCTAGGTACGTATGTGAGCTCGTGTGAGGACTGTCGCCGTGATTTCGTAAATCTACAGTGATGGCGGTATTCTTCGTGGTGGCTGCTATGTTTTTGGCGATACTCTCGAAGTTCTTTTTGGAGCCCATTAACCCGTGTATCACCAGTATAGGAACACTGTTCTTAGAGAGGGGCTTTCCGTGTATTTTGTATGCCAAGTCCACAGTTGAACGTTTGCAAAAGAACATAAAGGATATTACATTTCTTTTCAAGAACAGTTTTGTCTCCATTAGGTACATTAATTATTCATCGAATTGAGTAATCCATTTATACCATATATAATAATACCATTGTTTAATTTAATTTTTTTACAGACAACCACACTAACAAGACTTCTTTATTTTGATTAAATTTTAAACAGATAATGACAGCGATTGTTAGTGATTAGTGACATGAAATTTAGAAAAAACTTTGGCTATGGCTTCGAAAATAAATAAAAAACTTATTCTGCTGTACTCCGCGCTGCTCTATGGGTATGAGCACTTATATGAGTTACGGTAACTTAAATGTATTTCTTCGGGTGTTCAATACCAAGCGAGAGTGGCTTCGATAAAATAATTTCGCCCCATACTCTATGCTTCATTTCAACGACTTCTTTTTTTTTTGCTTAGATGGATGGACGAGCTCACAGCCCAACTGGTGTTAAGTGGTTACCTGGAGCCCATAGACGTCTACAACGTAAATGCGCCATCCACCTTGAAATATAAGTTGTAAGGTCTCAATATAGTTACAACGGCTGCCCCACTCTTCAAGCCGAAACGCATTACTGCTTCACGGCAGACTTCAACTGATCATAATTTTCTTAAGCGACATTGAGCAAAAGTGTTTTTGTTTGTGTTTACGGATCGCAACTATCCAAAATGCGATTTGTATTGTGCGATTTGTATATTCGTGTGCTCACGAACGATATCCACTATGTAGAAATAACATAGGGTGTTTAACTAAATAAAACTCGTAACATCAATACGTTTGCTCAATGACTTGTGGTGGCGCTGAATGTAAGACTACACTGGTATGTACCAATGATTAATCTGGCTATTTTTGACATCAAAGTCATTAACACCGGCTTCAAGGGTGCCGTGGAAATCATTTTACCACACAAAAGGCTTTAGCCTCTTATCTCAAGGTAGAGGTGGCATACAGGTTGCGAAATTTAAATGGACCCAGTTATCACTTAATACCAGGCTGGCTATGATCTTGTCTACAAAAGAGAGAGCACTAAGTAAATAAAAAATAAGAGAAATTAAAAAAACATTGAAAATTTTACTACAAACTTTTCATACATTATTATTTTATTGACACTGTGACATACGGACGAACGGAGAACGAAAGAAACAGTAACTAACGGCTCTGTTCTCATGCGAATACATAAATCCTATGAACAAAGGCTAAAATTATAATTACGGAACCGGCAAAACTACTTCCTCGGTGTTGCTTACGTTTTGACGGACTGTATTTGTCATTAAAAACAAATTGACGGTTAAAATCCGTGTTTATTAATACGCTTTTATTAGCTTGCTCCTAAGTCCTAAGTCTTCAATACTAATATATAAATCTACAGTGGTTTTTACGGATGTTCCGTTATAACTACTGAACCATGCATCCGATTGACTTGAAACTTGGTATCCATGTTTTTTTGTTTTTTTATTGCTTAGATTTGTGGACGAGCTCACAGCCCACCTGGTGTTAAGTGGTTACTGGAGCCCATAGACATCTACAGCGTAAATGCGCCACACACCTTGAGATATAAGTTCTAATTCTAAGGTCTCAGTATAGTTACAACGGCTGCCCCACCCTTCAAACCGAAACGCATTACTGCTTCACGGTAGAAATAGGCGGGGCGGTGGTACCTACCCGTGCGGACTCACAAGAGGTCCTACCACCAGTAATTACGTAAATTATAATTTTGCGGGTTTGATTTTTATTACACGATGTTATTCCTTCACCGGGGAAGTCAATCGTGAACATTTGTTAAGTACGTATTTCATTAGAAAAATTGGTACCCCCGCCTGCGGGATTCGAACACCGGTGCATCGCTAGATACGAATGCACCGGACGTCTTATCCTTTAGGCCACGACGACTTCAAAATTCCATGTAGAAAATACATGTAATTAATGGATAGGCCAATATTTATATAAGCGTTGGACTCCCTACACCAGTTGTGGGGGCGTTAATGATGAAAATCTTTGTGAGGGTGACAAATAATAATGTTAATTTTAAATGCCCAGCGAAGCGGACGGGTACAGCTAGTTATTTTATAAAGTCAAATGTGACGTTATGATTAATTTGATTTCAATTAATCTAATTCTTTGAACCTCATTGTCTACAAATTCTTAAACAACAATACAGTAGTTTAGTTCAACGATAAACTAGACTGATGTATATTTTAGTGAAAGGTGAAAAAGTTAATTAAAGAGGTATAATTTGCTGCTGGTATGTCGTCTGGGTGATGGGTTCCGGATTGGGTGGGGTACAGCCGAAATAATATATCATATAATCCGTATTATATAGTACTCAGGTCTCTTCTAGTCCCACGTCTGTTGCCCGCTTGGGGGGTCCCCCGTCTGAGGACCGCGGCCAACTTTCTATTCTTTAGGGGTTATACCCCACCCCCACCCCCTTAATGGGGTTTCATACTCGTCCTCTCACCATCAATATTGTAAACAATGGGGAGAGGACTCCAGGGAAGAGTGCGGCTTTGCTTCTCTCCTTCTCTTAGGTAGCATAGGTTACTATAACTATGCAGCTACAACTTCAATAATTAATAGTATGAATTTAGTACAAAAATTAAAAAGTTATATTAAATCATGGTTAAAAGCCTTTTATCCCATAACTTTGACATCTTATTTAAAAAAAAGTATTGTATTTAACGCTGTAAAAACGCACGTTATTTCCGTTACTGCACGTTATTTCATAAAAATGTCCCATTTTATTTTGATTTCAAAATGATACAACGTTTGCTGTTTCTCTTTCTACAAGATGGCAAAAAGTTATCGAACAAAATAGTCCCTACATGCTTTATTTAAATGTAAATAAACTATATTAAAAATGTTGTGAATTTTCTTAAAAATGCGAAGAAACATTTTCCCCAACCTCTTATTTTTTGCAGGGCACGCGATGTAAAGAATATTTTAGGTCATTTTTTTATACCTTGGGTTACATTATTGGAGTTTTGGTAGGGATCCCTAATTTTTTTTCAAAAACAATTATAGCCTATGTCACTCGGGAATAGTGTAGCTTCCAAACAGTGAAATAATTTTTCAAATCGGTTCAGTAGTTTCGGAGCCTATTCGAAACAAACAAATCTTTCCTCTTTATAATATTAGTATAGATAAAAGAAACTGTCAACATTATCAAAAACTTGGGGCCTTAAAAAAATTCGACAATAAATTATCATAATAAAACAGTTAAAAATATTGTAATGCTTATATTTCCTAAACTTAATTAAGTTTACAAATTGTTTGCCTTCAGTATGAATACAGGCTCTGCATCACCTCAGAAAAGATCTTTTAACCAATCGTGAGTTTATTTCTTCTGCTGTTTTAGCAATTTTGCGGCGCGGTTCGGCTAGATTTTGTATTGGCTTCATGTGCACTTTTTCTCAACATGATTTTATGGTGAACATGTAAGGTGGACTTCAACATAAAAATTCACTTTTTTCGTTTCGCTTTAGGTGATCCGTACGCCGTTTCGCTACAAATAGAATTGATTACTGACCATAGATAACAACACTTGATTACTAAACAGCCTTCAAGCCGTCTTTGCAACGTTTTTATACTCGACACGACTTTTCGAGAACTTTTCCGACAATATTATTCGTTTTGATATCCGTTTTCGCTATTTTACAACAGATGGAGTTAGTGCTGACTGCCAAAACACTATTCAACAAAAAAATCGTACAAGAAATTGCCTACGCGCTGGTATATTGTCAGCGGTGCTCATAGACATCAGCAATACCAGAAGTATACCCAAGCCACTGCGAATCCGCGCCCTGCGCTACCGACACTAGCACGCTGCCTGCCAGCAGTTTTACAGTGGAGGAGTGATCAGTTAACGGTGTATCACGTTCCGCCCTGCAGGCTAGTTCTGGTCTAGCGGGGTATTCCGTCACGTCAGCAGCACCGTCCGAAGGTCTGTCGTACCGAGATGGCCGTCGTAGAGTTGACGACTATCGCTTCGACGAAATCGTCGGCCGGGTGTCTTTGGGGAGATCTGCTTGTCTTGCTTTCTTGTTGACCTTAGTTCTGTCTCGGACGGGGATCGGGAGTAAGGCGAGATTTGCAAGGAGCTCCGTTAGTGGATGCGCCCTTATTATCTTCGGTTTCTTTTTCTTCTCGCTTAGTTTTCCTCAATACTGGAGCTAGCATTTACGGCTACATATCTCAAATTTCCCGAGCAGAAGATTTGGCCCTTGACTAGAAAATAAAAAGTTAAGTACAATTTTTTCTATTAAGCATAAGTACTTGATGAAATAAATTCCATGGAGCAGGAATAGCATCGTGTAATAAAAATCAATTCTACAAAAAAAAAATATGTATTTATTACTATACGATACGGGTATTCGTCGTAAGCGTATTAAAACATTATTTATCCTAATATGCAACTGGAAACTTCTTTCGAAATTGACAATTAATGACACGAATCATTTAGAAATCGATTTGCGGTCATTGATTATCATTATTACGGTCGCATATTTAAGAAATTACAACACTAGTTTGGGCAGGTAATTGAACCATCTGTTAATTGTAAACACAATTCATTAATTTAATTTAGTTCAGCACGAGGTACGAGGTGAGTTTTCGAGGTTCAATTGTCGGAATTAGTCACAATCGAGTGCTGATCACCAGAGGAACAAGACGCCCTGCAAGGTATTTTAAAGCTGTACACTTTTGTACTAGTTCGTAAATTTTGTAAATTTAAAAATATAAATAAACCATAAACCCAACTAAGCATTAAAAAAAATATCGATAGTATTAATTTATTTTTAAAATTTATTTAATTTTTTAAATTTAAATTTATTATTTGTTCTCTGATTGAATCTGTCAGTGAATAGTGACTGTCCCTGACTACTTGACCGTGGGTCGTGGGGTTTGATTCGCGCGTCGGAAAAGCATTCGTGTGACGAATTTTAACCGTGCCGTGAATACTATTTTTTATTTATTGCATCGATGAATGGACGAGCTCACGGCCCACCTGGTGTTAAGTGGTTACCGGAGCCCATAGACATCTCCAACGTAAATGCCGTCACTCACCTTGAGATATGAATTCTAAGGTCTCAGTATAGTTACAACGGCTGCCCCACCCTTCAAGCCGAAACGCATTACTGCTTCACGGCAGAAATAGGCAGGGTGGTAGTACCTACCCGTGCGGACTCACAAGAGGGCCTACCACCAGTAATTACGCAAATTATAAGTTTGCGGGTTTCATTTTTATTACACGATGTTATTCCTTCACCGTGGAAGTCAATCGTGAGCATTTGTTGAGTACGTAATTCATTAGAAAAATTGGTACCCGTCTGAGATTCGAACATCGGTGCATCGCTCAACACGAATGCATCGGACGTCTTATCCGTTAGGCCACGACGACTTCATATTGATTATTAGGACTATAATTTAAGATATCCTTTGCTTTTGAGTGCTGGTGAACACACGCCCTACAAGAATATGAGTGCTCACCGTTGTTCATGGACATCATCAGTCATTACAGCATCATTCAAGCTACTTTCTATTGAAATATTTAAATGTTGTACCCCAATATGGTAGCTGAATTGGCTACTCTTATTGTCATTAGTACCAATAATAAACATGGACTACTGTTTATGTATATTATCAACATAACTCCAGTTTTTACATATAAACGATATTTTATAATATAATTAGTTTTGATTTGATATTACTATTAATTAATATATTAACATTCTTTTTTTCAGGAACAGTCATGGGCACGCTAATCAAAAATATCACGCATTATTACCATTTTGTCAACGATGACTTGGCTGGTAAGTTATATGTAACGCATTTATTATTTTAGCGTAGTTGAAGTATATAACGTTCCTTTAATTGCTTCTGTGCGAATTTTTTAACTTTCTCGATAGCGTAAAAGTTAACTCGAATTTGTACCCTCGCCCACCCGGTGAAACTGGAAAGACTTCAGGGCCACCAGTGATGAATAATTAAAAAAAAGAAATTTGGGGTGATCGTTTGCCTACGTTTGCCACTAGGGGCGCTGTTCCAACTGCATCAAATTTGAGTTAGAACGTTAAAAGACTCGCACTAAGCACACTGGTCCCGGTCATCGTTCTCGTCGAACCCTTCGCTTGCGACGAAGGGGTCGACGAGTAAATTAACCCATAGACACAGCCCACTGAGTTTCTCGCCGGATCTTCTCAGTGGGTCGCGTTTCCGGTGGTAGATTCTGCGAAGCACGCCTCTTGCTACGGTTCGTGTTAGCAACGTCGTCAGGTTTGAGCCCCGTGAGCTCACCCACTAGTTAAGGTTACGCTGAAATAGCCTCTCAAGGTTATCAGCTTAGGTAAGAAAAAAAACACTGGTCGTTCGCTTGGATTAACAAATGCAATACACTCCGTGTAAGTACCGTAGAGGGTTAAGATAGAGAAGATCTGACCTTGTCAGTTGCAGCTCGAGTCTCCATCTCTGAGCTACAGGCAGTGGCTGTGGACCTTGAGATGTGACTTCGATATTTAAATTAGATACAGGATCTGGTTCGAGGATATTGAACAGAATAATAAATAGCTTAACAGTATTTTGGAAAGATACGGATGGTACGCGTGGCAGGGCGTGAATGAGGTTAAGTTAAGGGTTGATGCTGTCCTACATATTTTTCCTGTGGAAGTTTTCGTTTTCTGTGAAATTCTTGCCGAAAATGAGCAACGGTAACTTGTTCATAAGTATGCTATTGATCTAATTATAAATAAACAAAACAGTTAAATAACATCTATTGTTTTTTAAATGGTTTTCTTCTTTTTGCTTGGCGTTTATTGATTGACGGGGTCAGTTACTTTCTTTGTTTTTAATGTGTCAATTATAACAATACAAAATGTATTTAGCACGTATATCAAATCTAAGTCTTGAAGATGCTATAAACATGGTCGATTATCGATCGAACAGTAGTTTTATTTATTCATTAAAAGCGATACACAGTAATTCAATGCAAATTTTTCGCTTTAACAAAGAATATTGCTAGTACTACACATTAAATTACAAAAATTCTTGTTTTGATTGTTTGAAAACCACTATTGAAACAATAAAATCACACGTCATTGTTAAAATATTCAAATGTTTTGACATTAGGTTTTCAAAATTCGTTATAAGTGCTCATTTGAAAATTATTATTAATTGTAGGCATCTAATTAACGTGATCATTAGTACTGACAACACAAGGCTGTCGTAAAATAACATTACACCGTCAATGTGACAAAAGATAAAATCTTAAGCCAAAGGTCAGAAGTCGCTAAATGATGGCAGCCACAGCATATTAAAAAACGGAATGAATAAATAAATAATATTTTACATATGAATAAATAGGAATACTCATACCAAAGACCTCTAGCAAGCCCCTTTTACATGACTATCCCATTTTTCATTTCGGGCTTCGCTAAAGCGAGATTTAGCTTTTATGAAATACCTTTTTATTTAAAATTGATTTACCTATGTATGTTCCTAGACTCCGAAACGGCTGGACCGATTTCGATGGAATTTTCTAGAAATATTCAGTTTGCTTAAACCCAAAAATCTAAGATGGTATTTTTTATGTACAATCAAATATTGGGAATGTTCCTATGCAACAAAAGGCAAACGGCAATTAAACTTTTTTTTTATCGCTTAGAAGGGTGGACGAGCTCACCTAGTGTTAAGTGGTTACCGGAGGCCATAGACATCTACAAAGCAAATGCCGCCACCCAAATTGAGATATGTGTTCTAAGGTCTCAGTATAGTTATAACAGCTGCCCCACCTTTCAAACGCATTACTGCTTCACGGCAGAAAGAGGCGGGGTAGTAATACCTACCCGTGCGGACTCACAAAACGTTCTACCACCCGTAAACTTATTCTCTGTTTCGTCAACAGATCCACGGACGAAGACTTTTCCTTTGGTTTCAAACCCGATACCGGTGCTCTTGATCTTATACGTGTACCATCGGTTCGTTCGCTCTTGGGGCCCGGCGCTGATGGAGAACCGGCAGCCCTTCAAACTGAAGACAACGATAATCATATACAACCTCGTGCAAATTTATCTGTCCTTGTACTTGGCAGCTCAGGTATGTTCAAGCAGAATTTAAAAAAAAAAACGCACACCAATCAAACAAACGGAATTTTATTTTAGTACTAGCTGACCGGGCAGACTTCGTAGTGCCTCAATCGATAAATAAAAGACCTAAACTTTTGTATAAAATAAACTTAAAACAAACAAAAGGAATCCGTCCGACGGGGGACACGTCAAAGGAAAAACAAAATTGTTTATTTTTATTTAAGTAATTCCGAGAACTTTCATATTTATCTACCTTTTAAACCTTCTCTGGACTTCCACAAATAATTCAAGACCAAAATTAGCCAAATCGGTCCAGCCGTTCTCGAGTTTTAGCGAGACTAACGAACAGCAATTCATTTTTATATATATAGATTCAATAGATTCAATAAATCCAAGGTAAGATACCTAATAGCTAATGATAAATAGATAACTACATACTGTAACTTTTATGACATATTTTATATTAAAGTTCGAACGAAACGACAAAGCGACACTAAAGAAAGATAACATTTATAGGATATTCTGGCAAGCTGAAATCTTATAGGTTTATGAAGGGTAAACATCCTTCCTTATTAGCTTCCAGTTGGAACAGCGCCCCTAGCGGCAAACGTAGGCAAACGTTCCAACTCCATACACTTTTACACTATCTAGAAGGTTAGAAAACTCGCACTAAGCACACAGATGACTATGTGTGTCATAAGATAATAATATAAAGCTGGAATTATTTCCAAAAAAAAAACATTGCGATACCCTTCCCACCGGACGCACGATTTTATCGTGGTAGAAACGGGCAGTTCTGTGGCTAGTCAAACTTGCGCCAGACATTCAATAATATGTAGGTATAATGAAATGAAGTTTCACAACGAAAGTTCATTGACTTTACACAAGCAAGTTGTAATTAATTGTATTTTTTTTTATTTTTTTTACTATACGCACAGAACTCATTCGTTTATTCACTTACAGTTTTAAATTTTGATCGAGTTATTTTTGTAATTCAATATTATTGTCATTTTATCACTGGTGGTAGGTTTGGATAGTAAATTTAGAATATCACGATTGCTTTTTGAAAACTCCTTTATATTATTGAAAGCATTAAGCACGAATATCGTTTAGAAATACCGGCCTATCAAACACAATTGAACGGAGAACACGTAAGGTTTAAAAAAAAAACTGCTTTTTTTTTTAAATGTTAACGTTGTAACCAGGGACGTCTTAAACTAGAATGGGGCCCTTGGGCACACAAGAATTTGAGGCCCTTTGGAAAGTTAAAAAAGCGAATTATAATAATATTTTTTTACTGAGTATGACCATTTATTATAGGTAATCAAATACAGTATGATATAATATGTGATTAATGATATTAGAATGCTGCTGGTTTTTTGTTACGATTTCGATAACGGTTTCTTTCGGGATTTCTGTTGAGCAAAATCTTCTATTATAAGCATAGTATATGCCTTGTAAATACCTTCTGATTACTGATTTGTGAAAAAAGTGTAATGTGCCCGAAAAAATGTTTTGAGAATAAACGTGTCAGAGAAATTGTCGGTCTTTCGGGCCCCCTGAGAATGGGGGCCCTGGGCACGGGCCCCGTGTGCCCTTATGGTAAAGACGGTATTGGTTGTAACTGTTGTTTGGACTAAATAAATATTTTATGTAAATGTGCCGTGGTGTTAAAGCCCTATTCATTAAAACATCGATTCGGGTATTCAATTAAAATTCGATTTCAATTGTCGTTTCGTTTATTTTGACAATGCCCCGTTTGAGGCAGACTTTGACCTCTGCGTGTGTATTGTCTTTTAAGTCCATCGCAGCGGAAACGTAAAGTTTTTTTTTTTTTAATTCAATTTGCTTCTATAATTAAACTTAGAATGGACTACTTTAACATAAATTAACATATACTCAATTTATTATTATTTTTCAGAGACGTAAGTAAATGTATATTTAATGTTCAGTTATGTCTTCATATGTGAGATTCGGCCCCGTACCCGCAACATTTTTTTTTAAATTGCTTAATTGGGTACACGAGCTCACAATAGACATCTACAACGTAAATGCGCCACCCACCTTGAGATATAAGTTCTAAGGTCTCTGTATAGTTACAACGGCTGCCCCACCCTTCAAACCGAAACGCATTACTGCTTCACGGCAGAAAATTGGCAGGGTGGTGGTACCTACCCGTGCGGACTCACAAGAGGTCTTACCACCAGTAACATGAACAACTTACTCTTCTTTTACTTACTCTTCTTATCGAACCGCTCTTTTCGATATCGAGTCGAGGGATCCTGCTCCTCCCCGCGACCTCTCACGGGAAAATCTCAGTCCTCTCTTCATTCCTTTTTAGTTTATTTATTAATGACAATTACCGATATCCGCGGACCCATTTAGTCTTATTCGTCAATTATTATTATTCGAGCAGGAACAAGTCTCTAATCGCGAGTAAGCTATCGACATTAATCCAGAGAAAAATAAAGCGGTGCTCTTTCAAAGGCGAAATTCAACCTCCTTCTGTATTAGGCGTAGGAATCTCACACCCCCGATTACCTTCTTCGGCCAATCCATACCTTGGGACAGTAAGGTCAAGTACCTGGGAGTTATTCTGGATGCATCTATGACATTCCGCCCACACATAAAGTCTGTCCGCGCCCCGTCTATCCTCGGCAGGCTTTTACCCCATGATTTTGTAATCGGAGTAAAATGTCCCTTCGGAACAAGGTGACACTCTACTAAACTTGCGTACCATCCGTTATGACATATGTGAGTGTGGTGTTGGTAACGCGGCCCGCATCTGGATAGACACCCTCCAATCCCTACAATCCCGCTTTTGTAGGCTAGCCGTTGGAGCTCCGTGGTTCGTGAGAAACGTCGACTATACAATGATTTGGGCCTTGAATCGATCAGGAAACACCTGAAGTCATCGTTGGCGCCACTGAGTACTCCCCGACTCCGACTCACGCAAGAGCCAGTCACCGTCGCGAAACTGGCAATGTCTCTGGGCCACCAGGAATCTTTCCTTCCTAAAAAAATATATTATACCCCTAACGAATTAAATTTTAGTAAACTGTCACTTTTTTTTTTGTTGTTATGCAAATCACGACATTTGGCGTACCCATCTAAAACTTAGGCATGTGTTAATACAAGGTTATGAATTATCTTTATCCGAAATGTCATACAAATTCGTGCAGCGTGATTGCATCATAAATGTTCACGATTGACTTCCACGGTGAAGGAATAACATCGTGTAATAAAAGTCAAAAACCCGCAAAATTATAATTTGCGTAATCACTGGTGGTAGGACCTCTTGTGAGTCCGCACGGGTAGGTACCACCGCCCTGCCTATTTCTGCCGTGAAGCAGTTAATGCGTTTCGGTTTGAAGGGTGGGGTAGCCGCTGTAACTATACTGAGACCTTAGAACTTATATCTCAAGATGGGTGGTGCATTTACGTTGTAGATGTCAATGGGCTCCAGTAACCACTTAACACCAGGTGGGCTGTGAGCTCGTCCACCCATCTAAGCAATAAAAAAAGAAAAAAATATCCAGAAATAATATTTCTTGAAAAAAAATGTTATATCTATTAAAGACACTACCGTGTAAACTAAATGTCGGGTTACGAATATTTCTTAAGAAACCACATTGCCGTTAGTCTATACTTAACACAAATGAATATTAAAAGGTAAACATTTTGTTGTGGTTTTGTGGCCCCAGAACGAGTTCTAGGACGTCTTACTGTCGAAACCTTTCAAGAACTTCATTTTAGACGACTCAAAATATGTTCGTTATTTAGAAACAAAAGTGCCTACATTGACGCTTTTGACAGGCACATTACTTTACTGCTAAAATGTTGACAGACGAGAGAAGTATTCCTACGCTTTCTCATTAAAGTTTTTAAGTCTTCGGAGCGTGAGCAGTCTTGAACTTCATATCACCTTTGTGTATATACCCTCTTGTTATTGTTATTTGGTCTCTGATTTTTGTATTTTTTCCTTTGTATAGGTATAACAAATAATTAGATTGACAATAAATTCAGGTGATATGTAGTTTTAAAACAACAATGTCTATGATCTCTCTGTAGCAGATGAGCCGCAAAAGCGTACCGAGGAAGATAAAAAAAGTATCCAATCCTGTCTACCGTCAGAAGCGAAGTCTTACAGTCTTGGTAATAGCGTTTAAATGGTTCTTATTCTGGAACGTTCCGATAGCAGCCTGTGTAATCCACAGCAAGTTTCGTCTTTCAAGTTATGTACAATGAGGACTTAGAATGCTTATGATCGTCCGCTACTTGCGTCTGGAACTTTCCGTTGTCTGACGAAAAACACTCATTAATCTTTTATTGATATGACGATAATTATACTACCCATTTATAAACCTATTCAATTTTGTTTTTATTGTTTAGACGAGTGAGCGGGCTCATAATCCACACGGCGTTAAGCGGTTACCGGGTGCCTATGGATCCCGTTAACCACTCAACCGATGGTTCACTCAATGGAATAAAAAAAACGGAGCTTAGCTTCGTGCTTTGTGTGCGTTTCCCGAAAATCCTCATTCAAGTTTGAATGAGATAGCCGCCGAACTTTCTGTGCTATACGACCCATTTTATATAATCACTTGGGTGCAGAACACGTTGCCGCTTGGTTAGGCTTAAAATACCTGAATTCTCTCCAAAAACTAAATCATACAAGAATCGCTCAGAATATGCTAAAGCAAATTAATTCCGACCGAGCATTCATTAAAGCATTGTTGCTGATAACGAGAGGTGGGTTTACGAGTTTGATATTCAAGCTAGTCAACAAACTTCGGAGTGGCGGCTTCCAACTGAACCGAAACCGGAAAAACCACGCCGAAGTCGATCAAAAGTCAAAGTTGATTGTATTTTTTTTTTTAATATCGCGTTGCTGTGCACTATATATTCTTGCCGGAAGGTCAAGCGAGAAGTAAACAATTAGGTTAATTATTTGAGCGTTGTACAGTAATTACGAGAGCAAATCGACTAAAAAGGCTTTTTTTTTTTTTT